GGGCCACTCAACCTCGCGCAGAAGGATCTCAACGCTTGAGCTACAACATTTGTCATCTCAGTGAACTTGGTGTCAGCCATTATGACAAAGCAGCAGAAAAGATTGCTCTTGCTGTGGTGAAGCAGGTGCAAACAAAGATGTCCTCAGATGTTGATGCTTCAGCCAAACACGGGCCGTTAGTGCTGTTTCGGAAGGTGAATACTGTGGGTGGCACTCCCTTTTGGCAAATGATGATCTCGCCAAATATGACAAGATCCCAAGATCAGCTGAAACAGCAGCTCCTTTGAATTCCCGAGTTTTGCAGGAAGAGGAGGCGAATGGCAGGGAGTTGCATGAGGCAACTTGTGAAGTGGCTTTGAGGGAGTGCGATCCTGTGTACACTCAGGACATCCTCCGTGTTCAAAAAGAAGTTTGCTTTGCGCCTCACGACCTTTACTGGATTTCTCAAGTGATGGGCTTTTCAATAAGGTGCACATGCTCTGCAGAGGCAGGGTTGTGTTGAAAAACCATTCCATGGAGAGGTTACGCGGACTTAGTTTTGCTTGTACATAAAGTGGCCTAGATTATGTACAAACAAGTAAGAGGCAGTGTGTAGATATACATACATATCTATATATATATATATATATATAGATACTCGCCCCTAGCCTTTGGATATTAGCATCGGGTGGATGTTCTAAGAGTTATGAACTGACAGCAGGTTGGACTTGTTCACGGGGAGAACCAGCTGGACGCTGTCTATGGTACTGGGCTGCCTTCTGCTCACTTGTACTTCCACTTCGACAAGGCAGCAGCTGGCACTCACTTGTTTGGGCACTACAGCTTGCTTGTGAGGGCATCACAGGACTTCCGCAACAATTTGAAGCTGCCTGCTACTGCCACTTGGAGGTGCTTCAAGTGCTCATGTTGTTTTCAGTTGCCAGCTGGGGCCGTGGTCGACTATATATATATATATAATCACAATTAGAGAGAGAGAGAGAGAGAAGGAGACCAAAGTAAAAAGAGACCTGAGCGTATAGAGTAAGTCTCAAAACCCGCACAAACAAACACACACATATATATATATATATCATTATCTATCATTATATAATACATATTGTGGCTACTTGCACCTACTATACTCTGGTTTGTCTGTCTAAGGTCGCGGAAGAGCACAGTGAGGCTAGCAAAGAGATTCTCAGGCTGATGGCTACCGATGGCGATTGCTCAACGATACCAGCCATAGCAACAACAAATAGCAAAGACCAAGCAAACAATGCAGCTCAAGCAGAGCAGCCAAAACCTCTTGAAGAACCACAGGATGCAGCACACGCATCGCAAACAGCAGAAGCAAGCAAGCA